TGGTCTACTAATCACACCATATTAAGTCTTTAGTCTAAAGGAGTGATTTCCAAATTTTATTTTCCATTAATGAACCAGGACTCCAAAAAGAATATGAAACCAGCCAGTATAATTTTAGTCTGCTGACACTGTTGGTAACCCTTCCTAACACTTCAGAAAGTGTTAACTGCATTAATCAGGGGTTGGAGAAAGGGAGGGGGAAACCAGCCCCATCCTTCCAGACAAAATGTTAGGATAGAATTTATGCAGGATAGATACATGTTAACAAATATGATGAAATCAATTACAAGGAAAAGGTTAAAGTTAAGTGCAAAACAGTGGTTCTAATTATACTAGATCAAAATACAGAGGCATTGCTACAAGGAATTGGAAGCCTGTTTCTGCTGAGGAAAGGATGACGTGCACAAGGAACAATCTCTTTCTAGTCAAATCCGAAGAAACCGAGAAATTAGGCTAATCTTGCCTGTATTGAGGCCTAGGGTTTCTTGAACCACTGCAAACCACAGTGATCCAGGTGGAGGGGCAGTGTGAATTTGTTATTAACATTTTGAAAAGCCCTCGCAAGGAGATCTGTGTTGTATTCCTATGGACTTCCTATACATCGTTTCTCAAGTCAATTAAATCCCCACTGACTCACAGTTTCCTCATTTCCATGACAAATGAGATCAATATTAATTTCCTACCTCACAGGTGTATTGTGAAGTTTACTACATTAATATTTGTAAAGTGCTTTCAGAAGCTCAAACAGAAAGTGTTGTTGTACAAATGCAAAGTAAATTACATAAAGAAGAGTCAGACTTCTGCCTTAGAGAGGATGATGTCCTTCTCATAGCATGCTAAGCACTATGCTAAGCACTAAATCTGCAAATGGGAATGATTTCAGGTAAAAAACTGTACTTGCTTGAGACTGGATTAAAAACCTGGGGTGTCACCGAGACATTCCATGTAATTGAAGACTTTGTGTACACAGAGCCCTTATAATCTCATTTTTATGCATTAACCTACACATGCCATAACATAGATGACATTTAGGATATGTCTACACTGCAATGTAAACTCAGGGTTCGAACTCAGTCTCAAGCCTACCTTTGACCTCCATCTACACACAAAATCGTGCTAATCCAGGGCCTGGACCCAGGGTCATAGGACCCCACAGGGGTGGTGGGTCCAAACCTGAGTCAAGTCAGTCCCTGGGTCCAAGTCCTATTGCTCTGCAGTATATATGCAGTCTTAGTAGACTTGTGTACTGGGAGATCCCTAAAAGGATCCCACAATCCTATGAAACAACTCTCTCTCTTCCTTTGGACAATCAAGTTTGGTGGACAGTCAAGTTTTTCCACGCTGCACCACAAACCAAGGGCTAGAGCGGCCACATTTCGGGAGGGCGCTAGGAAGTCTGGGATATGGTTGGTTGGATCTGAGTCTGCGTACTGCAACATGAACGTCGGAGCCTTGAGTTAGGCCTGGGTTAGAAAATTCCGAATCTATGGTTGACAATCAATGTAGATGCTCAAGACCTGGGTTCTCTAACCCAGGACCTACTGACTTGAGATCCACTAACCCTAGGCTTACATTATAGTGTAGACATTGCCTTAGAGGCCCTTTTCATTGGTTTCACTCAGTAAAGCACCAATATGTAATTTTCAACTTCACAGTTCCTTTACACCAGTACTATTCATCTGATTAGTATTTAAATCTACTAAGTAACAGAATGGCAAAAAGATATGAGTTTTGTTTATCTACACATTTTTTTTTTAAGTGTGTGTTTTCCACTAAGGAGCATTAGTAGATTGGAATTTTGCATTGTAATAAATTTGTCATGTAGAAGAACCCCTAATAACATTGTAGTGTAATAAAGAAAGCTTTTTATTTTGGGGCAGGCAAAATTTGACAATTTCCATGAATACCAATAGAAACAGCCAATTAGCTGCAACCAAGGAGTTAAATATTACAATTTAATTTCAAATAATTACATTAAGATTCAATCTAGTAAAAATAAGGAAATTAAAGAAATTGAAAATTAAGTCTGTTGCTATGATCTTAACTAATCCCACTGTGCCCAGACTCAACACCACATAGAACTATAAGATCACTGACTGGCCTGATATTCCCCATATGTGCTGCATTATCTGGACACATGGGTTGAGTTAAATATGCTGTGACAGCCTAACCTCGTTACTTCATTACTTTTATTGTTTGAAGTCTCAACTTTAACATTACCTTAATGTGATTTTTAAATTTAATTTCCTTTCTTTTATGGTAAGTCTAAAGTGCAAAGAAAATGAAACATTATTTCAACTAGTTATTGTTGCTCATTTGTATACTAAAGCCTAAGTGCCAAGCATTTTGCTTAAACTCATTCTGAAAAAAAACAAACAGAACAGGATTACAATGAAATGTTATTCCTAAATGTTATTCACTGAAGATGAATACCTGTTATTAGTGTAATATCAATACTATTCTTATTAGAAAATACCAGTTTTCTACAAACTGTTACAACAAAAATACCAGTCAAGGTGGATGGCCAACATGCTTGATAAAACCTGCCCGGTTATCAACAGAAATGGAAAACACTTCTGTTCTTTCTTGTGTTTTGATAAATTATGAAATGTATGCACTAGTCCCTGTTTGATTAAATAACAGGAACAAGTGGTTAAACCATTCTGGTATTTTACAAAAGACACCAGTACAATTCTGCCAAGTGTCATTAGAATTTCTCAAGACAACTGGGTAAACACTCAGCCTGTCTGTCAAAAAATAGCTTGCTGTAAGCCATGCTCCACAGCATTTGTAAACAAGAATATTAACATGCACAGAAAGTAGGCCAAGGAGCTCTGCTGGTTATTCAGTGAATTCTTTTAAAGATGAACCCTAAGCAGTTAGAATTCAGCATCACAAGTATTGCAGTAATATTAAATTACTGATATTTTGCAATTTTATAGTGCCTTCCACCTGAGGATCTCAAAGAAGAATTAGCAAATTAAGCCTCACTATGCCCCTATAATATAAGGAAGCATTGCCTATGTTTTAGAGATGGGGAAACAGAATGGCTTGCCCAAGGTAAAACAGGAAGTCTGTGATGGAGCCAATGATAGAACTCAGAACTCCTGACTTCCAATCCTTCCTCCTGAAATAAGGTGATGACATTTTTTTCTAGCAGCAAATGGTCAACCTGCTTTTTGATTTGGCAACTAAAATACCCCAGTTGAATGAGTCCATCTAAAGTCTCAGATCCTGCTGAGGAAATATTCACAAACAATATACTACTTGAAAAGAAACACATACCACTTTTTTCTCCTCACCGTAACATTCTGAAAACACTGGTCTACAATTTTTGAGAAGTCGTCTGCTTCAGAGATAAAATGTGCTATTTATTATGTATTTTGATG